TTGGGTCAGCTGTCCTGGCTGTGCCCCCTCCCAGCTTCTTGTGCACCTCCAGCCTTCTCAGTCGGCAGAGCATGGGAAGCTGGAAAGTCCTTGACTAGTGTAAGCACTACTTAGCGACAGCTAAAACATTGGTGTGTTATCAACATTGTTCTCATCCTAAATCCAAACCACAGCACTGTACCAGCTACTGAGAAGAAAATTAACTCTATCCCTGCTGAAACCAGGACAACCCCTAAGACATGTGGCTGAGCACAGCTCCATGACACAGCTCCTCTTACTATTACAAATAATGGGAAGAGGAAACTTACTATACCAAAATGTTTCAAAGTATTGCTGTTGCATGATATTGTATGTCACACGGGATAGAGGTAATTTTCTTCTTAGTAGCTGGTACAGCGCTGTATTTTGGATTTAGGATGAGAATAATGTTGATAACACACCGATGTTTTAGCTGTTGCTAAGTAGCGCTTACACTAGTCAAGTATGTACCTCACAATCTATTTTGAGCAGTCTTGCAGTACCAGTGGTTTTGAAACATTTGTGTACTGAGTGCATCATACCTTGAGCACAGGCTGTATTAGACCCCATTGTGATGAACTAATCCAGAGCTTCCACATGCTCTCATGGTTGTCTACAGTACAATAACAAAGAATTTTTTGCATCAAGTCTGGTTGAATTTGGCCATCCAAGGTCTGCTTTAGGTTTTGTTTCACTATTTTCAATTAATGGATATAACAAAACTTCACAGAAATGGAGGCTGTTGAGTTGAAGAGCTCCATCCTAGTTGTATACTACCTGTAGGCAGCAGAAAGCAACTACAAACCACATAGCTGAGGAGGATTACTTGTCCATTCACAAATAATGGGAAGAGGAAACTTACTATACCAAAATGTTTCAAAGTATTGCTGTTGCATGATATTGTATGTCACACTCAGCTGTGTTCACTAAATTAAAGGACAGCCATTAAGTAATACAGCTCTGCAACATACCTGGAGGCAATGCAAGATGAACTTACTCTGATATGTTTCTAGAAAAAGAATCCTGAAATGGTTAAGGGAATAAGAGTGCTTTCAGGTACAAAAGGATATCTAGATAATGGCTTTCAATCTCCATGAGAAAGGAAAAAAGTTTCAGATGAAATGATCAACATCCCTGCCTTTGGTTATTAGCAGGTATTTTTCTTCCTAAGTGTGGGAGGAAACAGGTAGTGAGTAACTATATTCCAGTTTATTGCTAATGCACAGGAGCCTGACAAAAACAAATCTTTGAAATGGCATAATCTATATCTAAAGTTAAAGTGCAAGCAACAATCAATCACATTTTCATTCCAAGGATGCTTGGGTAGAAGACCTAATTGTTTGTTGATGAAGAGAAATAAGGAAATTCTCATTTTAAAGAAAAGCTTTGTTTTCCACCAGCTTTGTTTGTTTTGAATTTGGATTTTTGCCCTTTTTTTCTGGCACTGTATATTAGATCTAGCCAGTGTCTGAACTTATTGTGTAGCCAAAGCTGTTATTATCATACTACATAATAATATAAGTAGTAATATAAAGTCCTTTATGACTTGATTTGTGATTAGGAGCAGATCAGGAATTTTGTGATGAAGTGTCTTTTTCTTAGAAAAAGCAGAAGTGCTGACACCAAATATTTTCACGGGTAAAATACCTGTTCCAGTGAATGGTCAAGAAAACACAAAGCTGTGATGGACTTCCTGCATGCTTGCTGGGAGTCTGAGGACTCCTGGATGTGTTGCTCAAAGGAAGGCTTACATGGAAAAAAGCCTGAGAGCAAAGGGCTTGAGGGCAAAGCCGAGAGCCTCCTGCTTTCATGTGACATGGCCAACAGACTGGCAAGATGCGAGCCCCAGCTTCCAGAGTTTGACTCAGTCATAAGATCTGGATGTCTTCAGGCTCCCTTTCATTCCGTTGGGACAACACATTAAAAAACATGAATTAAGATCAGAAATGTTCTTTAGAATGTAGGCATCAGTCCCACCCATTACAAGCAGTAGTAGGTGGGGCCATTTAACTGAGAAGAACCTCACGCAGAGACGTTATCTACTGTGTGTTTAAACACTTTCCTAGAGATGGGAGATTTCAACAATTTTATGAGTTCTCCCATTTATCATTACAATTGAAATTCTACATTTTTTGACTATCCATAACAATTAGAGAAAACAGTAAATAATGCCATTGCTTTTTCATCACATCACAGAAAAGATAGCTTCTGATGGCTGCGTAGCTATCTGCCTGCGGTAGTTTTTAAAATGTTTCACAGAGTTGGCAGTGTAACCCAAATAATTTTAATTAACTAAAAGCAGGCTAACACATAAATATCATATCAGTAAAACAAAGGCATATGTGATCATCCCAGGCATTTCACATTTTGCAAATTGTCTGCTCATGCCAGTATGTCAGCCTACCAGATAACAAAATTACCACATAAGGTAATTCTGCTGGAAACTGAACTTTTTACTTTTCATGAAACAAAGTTAAAAATAACTGGCAGATGGGGAGTATAATAGCTCAGGAAAACCACTGCGCTAATGCATCTAACAGTTTCCCAAACTGGACTACACATCTTGCTGGACTGGGGTTTGAATAAATTCATGATTGCCTGAACCATCTGTGTAGACATACCCTAGATCCTGGCTATTCATAGCCCTTCAAATGCTATTAAAACTAGGGAACTAGGGTGGAAAGAAATGTTCCCTGCAATACAGAATAATGCAGTTGTAGTCAGTGGAAATGCTGGAGCCTCCATGGTATGAAAAATGTATATTTCAAATAAATGCATTAATGCAATATTTACATATGCAAGAAAACAGTGGCATAGCATGAATAATTTTCCCTCTAAGTAAGAATGTGCAAAGTATCTTAACAAACAATACTCTGAGCCTTTAAAACAGTTTGAACACTGCATTATTTCTTATTAATGACCCCTTTGAGAAATGATACATTCTCATCTTTACTCAAAAACTTTCAACAGAGCAACACTGCTCTCAAGCATGTACTATGGTTATGACCATTACTAAGGTGACAACAGGAAATGGCATTACCGCATCATCATTTTGTCAGTTGTCGTAATTTCCCCACATACCTCTTGACCTCTCTGTGTGTTAACTCAGTTGCCGGGTTAACACTGTCCTACTGTAGAAACAAAACCCTGCTATGTAATCTCCCTCCATCTCATACTTGATCCATTCAGTGTTATTTCAAGGCATTGTCAAAGGCATTAGGTGCTCGTCTATTGTGAAGGATCACGGTTTCACAAATACTCCAAGAAAAATAATGGAAAGAGAGAAACACAGAAGGCATTACTTCTCTTTTTCTTATTTTTCTTTTTTATTGTTGTTGGTTTGCTTTGTTTTGTTTTGTTTTCTGTGGATATAACAATCCAATAGATGATAATATCACACAAAAAGTGTACAGGGGAGAGAACGAGCATACGGTCATTTCATGGGTTTGGTAAGTTTGAAAGTAGTTACAGTTTTACCATTTTAATTTTGTCATCTGCAAATGTTAAGAAGTATAGTATGCACGTTCCTCAGAAGGTGTAAAATGGGGAAAGGAGTGGCTCGGTAAATGAATGAAGTCAGCATTGAAGGAATATAATGTTACTTACGACACACAGTTGAGTATTCAATCAGATCTCTTTTACAAGCAACTGATATTCTCCATAGCCTGTGCATAATGTTGTCGAGATACTTAGAAGGTTGTTAACATTTCATTACTCTTGCCATTGACTTTTTTCTGCTTTCTTCACAACAAAAGTCAAAACGTGACCTCTTATTTCACTGAATTAGTTCCAGAGCACTTGGCATTATTGACCTCCTAATGAAAATTAATGATAACTCTTTTGATTCAGTCTTTCAAGTAGGCACACCAAGCACATTTAAGAAACAGGCATATTTATTTCTCATATTGAAATGAAATAACACACTGTTAACTAACAAAATGTACATTAATGCAACATTAAATTTGCAAATTTAAGCACATAGAATTTAAGAGATTTAAACTGCATTATCAGGAGCTGATGCTGCAAAGATTTAAGCTTGGCAATAATTTCAGACCTGGAAAACCAATGAGATTTACAAGTAAAGATACACATACGCTTAGAATATTTCAGCCCCAGGCCGTAAATTTATAGTAAAAATCTGGCAAGACTGAATTTTTTTTACTATGCAACAGAGACAATTGCACACTAGCTTAGGTATTTCCATGCTTTTCTTTTCCCTTTTAAAGCTAGAGAAGAATTCAAACTCTTTTCAGCGACTTTTTTCTTCTGTGCTCACAAGCTGTCACCCCACAGTTGAATGGATTTCCTCCATACAGAGCCTTACACAAATGTTTATGTGCAAACTGATGTCAGCCTATGGATATGGATCCCCTCTCCCTTGCATCTCTGTAAATAAGGATTACCTTTACCAGGTGAAATAGGACAGGTGAATGGATTCATATCTGGAGATTGGGTGAAAGTTTGCCATTTTATCTAAACAACTTCCTATTTCTAGGAAATTCTCTCAGAAATAATTCCTGGGGAATTATCTAGGAAATCTGCAAGAATAATTAATAAACTAACTTACGTTCTTCCTCTCTTTCCTTAGACAACAAAGACTATGATGCATATCTATCCTATACCAAAGTGGATCCTGACCAGTGGAATCAAGAAACTGGAGAAGAAGAAAGGTTTGCTCTTGAGATCCTACCAGATATGCTTGAAAAGCATTATGGATACAAGTTGTTCATACCAGACAGAGATTTGATTCCCACAGGAAGTAAGTCATGTCTTTATGCTTGTATGTTTCCTAAACAGCAAGTGCAGTGATTGCAGTGATTGTTTTGGTATCGTTTCTATGCCTACTCCTTCAGAATGTCATCTTTCCTCCCTCATCTTAGGGAATGATGAAGATAAGCCACCAAACATACTTAATGTGTGTTTCCCAGATAAGATTATTTTTTGGTAATTGAAGGTGAGACAGTGCAGAAAGGGCATGCACGAGTAAAGGAAATGAATGAGACTAACGTTTTTTCATAGATTTTTGAGAGCTTGTATATCTAGGAATGAATACAGAAGTCTTTGTTTTCTGTTCCTTAGAGTTTGCCTGGAAAGATATCCATGATTCTAAGAATTTATTACAGAAATTCAAATAGGAAAGAAAAAGTTGTGTTTGGACTAAGGCAAGGGTTGAGTAATAACGTCTGCAACAGAGCAAAGTAGTGAATTCTGTTAGTGTCCACTGCAGGTAAATGCATAGTGGAGGTACTGGATCATTCTCAGAGACTGAAAATTAGAATTGATTCCAACTGGTACAAGTAGATCTTTTTCATGTTTCTTTCACATATTCCAACCTATGTACAGTAATTTTTTGTAAGTTGCTGTAGTATTTATTCTTCATATCTTAAGTGTAACCATATAGACAGCTACTAAGTTCAGTATCTTTTACTGAAGAAAGGATGCTTGGTATAGGCAAATCACAACATCAAACATAATATGCATAGGGTATTTTTGAAATCTACAGCAAACAAAACATTAATTTGCAGGAGACAACACCATTTTTGTGAATGTGTGTGGTGGCGGCATGAAAGGAAAACAAGAATCTAACCTTACAGTACACTTTAGGGTATCACTTAGGTTTGAGACTGAGCCCTTGAAGCACATAGTTGCTGCTCTGTTGCCTACCTGGGTGACTTTGCCTTTTTAAAGGAAAAAATGTTGATGGACACACTTGTTCCAATAAAGATATAGATATTGATACAAAACCGCAGCCATGAACAAACACTCACAATCCATAGCACATGGGGGAATAAATGTTTTGCAGGATCACAGAATGGTTGAGTTTGGAAGGGAGGGACCTCTGGAGGTCATCTTGTCCAACCCCGCTGCTCAAGCAGAGCCACCTAGAGCAGGTTGCCCAGGACCACATCCTGGCAAGCCAACCTGGCACATTTGCAGGTGATGTTTTTGCATATTTCAGTGAGCTCTTCTGAGAGCAGGGATTTGCTTCTGTTGTTTCTCCCCAGTCTATGGGAGCAGAGTGTTTTCTTAGATTGATTTTTGAGCACTTGTCTTATTTTGTAGCCTACATTGAAGACGTGGCAAGATGTGTAGACCAAAGCAAGCGACTGATCATCGTCATGACTCCAAATTATGTGGTAAGAAGAGGCTGGAGTATCTTTGAACTGGAAACAAGGCTTCGAAACATGTTAGTCACGGGCGAAATCAAAGTGATACTGATTGAATGCAGTGAACTACGAGGAGTTATGAACTACCAGGAGGTCGAGGCCCTGAAACATACCATCAAGCTCCTCACTGTCATTAAATGGCACGGACCAAAATGCAACAAGTTGAATTCCAAGTTCTGGAAACGTTTACAGTACGAAATGCCTTTTAAGAGGATTGAACCCATCACACACGAGCAGGTTTTAGATGTCAGTGAGCAGGGACCCTTTGGGGAGCTGCAGACAGTCTCCGCAATTTCCATGGCTGCTGCCACCTCCACTGCTCTTGCCACTGCCCATCCAGACCTGCGGTCCACCTTTCATAACACATATCATTCACAGATGCGCCAGAAACACTATTATCGAAGCTATGAATACGATGTACCTCCTACCGGCACCCTGCCGCTTACCTCAATAGGTAACCAGCATACCTACTGCAACATCCCTATGACACTTATAAACGGGCAGCGGCCGCAGACAAAAACTAACAGGGAGCAGAATCCGGAAGAGGCTCACACAAACAGTGCGATACTGCCCCTCTTGCCACGGGAGACCAGTATATCAAGTGTCATTTGGTGACCGAAATGCAAGGGGCTGTCAACCCCCTTGAGTAGGAGCTGAGTCTGCAGTCCAGTGCCTGGAACTACATCCTCGACTGCTGCTGTTAAACATGCATTACAATCGATAACATACGAGGAAAAACAGGGTCTTGTACATATGGTTTTTGCAATTTCTTTGTAGCATCAGTCTTCCTGTTTTACCCATGTCTCTTCCCATTCACATTTTCAACTTTGTTTTATATGTCATTGGAATTTGTATATTTACATTTTTTTTAATGAAGAGACTGCTGTATAGATAGGAAACTTTTTTGCTTCATTAGTATAGTTTTAGACTTTTTGTTTGTTTGTTTTTAACCTCTCTTGGGAATGCTTGGACAAAGCTATGTTGATATCAGAAGCACCATCCATTTTGTTGGCCTGCCTAGCCTGATTCCTGAAGGCCATGCCTGCTGCAGTTCACCTCTTTTGGAGAATATTTGTTCTTAGAAGGACCCCATCCCTCACTGAGAGCTCCAGTTTCATTTCTACTCCTGTAATGTGCACTGCTCCTTCCCTGCCCTTACAATGACCCCCATTCGGGGTAACACTACCATCTGATCATCTAACATGTAACTTGGTAGATACCTGTCAAACAACAGAATATACCCAATCTGTATCGGTTGCTTCACAGTAGTCACTACAGAGTGTGTAGAAACTAGACATGGTTTGGTTTTTGATTTCTTGGGTTTGTTTTTTTTTTAATTATTATTTTAAGAATGAGTTGACTGTATCCCTTTTATAAATATAAAAGCAAACCCTATTTTTAACACTTCCTGGAAAAACATTGATGTGGTTGTGGATTTTATTTTTAAGCATTTAACTTTTTATTTTCCCCCTTTCAAAATACTGCAAATAAGATCATTTGCAATTGTCAGGCAAGACAAGTGGGGCAATAGGCACTGAAGTGCAGAGAGTCCTGCTGATATTTACAGTGATGACTTCCAAACCAAAGGGGAATAAAAAGACAGTATTGTAGATGGTTTGTCACTTTGTATTACAGAAAGTGTTATTTTCTGGAAAAGTAAAAGCAAAACATTATTTTGCTGTGGGTTACAGAGTCCCCTTGTATTTTAATGTTCAGAAAAACTGTATTTGCTTTAAAATTATATATTCAGGATTAAGAAATCTTCTTTCATTTGGTTTTAGCTTGTAACAATAAGTAAAACTTTATTAATTTCAACATGATTTCAGTAAGATCTCAGGCAGAAAAAAATGACATGAATAACAACAAATATAATTGTTTTCAAAATAAACTTTATTTATACAAAATTAATATTTAAATCAGACCTGGAAGTATTAAAAACAATTTATTCACTTTAATGAATAAATAAATTAGTTTTATTTTTTATGTATGATTCTATCTTTGAGGAGTTGCAAATAATGCGTGTACCACGGCTGCCAGGGAAGAAAAACAGAAACACTGTGTTTACATCTGGACATCTTTAAGACAAATGGAATAAGCAACTTACTCATACTTATGTTTTAAATAATGGAAAAGTCTTTTCTGGTTTTAGAAAGAGAGAGGAGCGGTGTTGTAACTCTACAACCTATTCAGGCCAAGCTCTTTGCTAGTCTCTGCTAGCAGAAGCAGAGGAGCCGGGGTAGAGTTACTGGTTGCAACACACAGTCATATAGTCATGGGTCTGATTCACCCTGGCAGAAATGTAACTGGTATCCTGGCAAACAGACATTATAGTCTATTTATGTAATTAATTAGCTTTAGGTATTTTTATGGTAGCTGAATGATATTGGCCAATATAATTAGTGTGGGGTTTGTTCATCCCGATTGTCACAATGAGAAAAGTACAGCTTATAATATTTTTGGTCTTCTTAATGAGAAGTGATGGGTAGAGAGCGGGTAAACTGCAGTTTGGGGGATGTTTGTGGGAGTAATCCAGAACGGACAGTGTGGGAGGAAATGACTATGCTCCTGTTGTGAAAGTCAAATCTCAGTATCTGCATAACAAGCTACTAGAGCTTTGGGATGTGCACTGATTTTTATTTGCTTAAAAATGTTTATTTCTCTGACAATTTGCTCAAGTCCGTTTCTACAATCTGTTCTTTATTACAGTGTGTCCCTCTGGACATGTGCCAAACATCCACAAAATGGAAATGAAGCTGCCAGGCCAGATAAAATTTTAAGAGAGCTTTGCACATTTGGTTATTTTCATAGTGTAAGAAAGCTATTATTTATTTGCTCTTACAGACACCTGTCAGGCACTGATGGCATTTTCCTTCATTCAACTGGATGCCAGATACCCCAGTATCCTCTGAAAGCAATGCATTATTTTTTCCCCTTTCCCTCCCCTTTACATGCCCTGGGGTAAAGACTGGGATGTGGAATAAATGTAGAATGTAATCATCCGACCGCAGTCACATTTAGACGATCAGTAGGTGTTTCCTTAGCCACATGGGGAGTACTTTTCTGTTGTTCTATTTTTAGTGTAGATTTAAGCACTTTGAATAGCATGATTCAGGGATTGATGGATACTATTTGATATTCACATTACTTAAAAAAAGTTTTTCTTATAATGTTTTGTCATAATATTAAATGAAAGAAAAACAAACAAAAAAAAAGAAACAAACCACAAAACAAAACCTGAAATAAATGGAGAAGCTGTCTATGGCTTTAGAAACATTCCTTCTTAGTACTCCTCCTCTATGAACAGCTCTGTGTGGGGAACAGTGAAGGAAACTGTTGTGTGTTCACGTGCTCTATGTTTGACAAAAGTTCTGTTGGAACGCAAAATAAAATGAAAAAAAAACCCAACAACCAAACCTGTCATTGCCCTAGTGCTTAGGCTCCATCTTTTTTTGGTGAAAGTGTTCCAGTTTTTGACAATGCAGCCTGAAGTGTGCATGCAATAGCCACATATAAGGTTTAGCCATAAGCAAATAGCACTTTATTTTAAAAACTGCACGGTGTGACGATCGGAAAAACTTACTCTGTCTGGTCAATAACTTCGGGTCTGTATGTGGATTCTATGCACATGAATTATCCGAGTGTGGTGCTTGGTCTTTATAAGGCTCTCTCTAATCAGGGTAGTCCTTGATATAAAACTAAATGACTCTGTTGCATAACCGGTGGAAATTCAGTATATAGGTTCTCCGGACAGCACATATAGCTGGACAGAAATGGGGGACTGTACAGTATGCAGCTAATTATTTTGAAGGCAAAGTGCGCTGCTGGGTCTGATTCTGTTCTCAGTTGCAGCAGTATGATTTGAGAGTAAATCTAATAAAATTGAATGAGTGTAAGATTGATTTGTGTGGGAGAAGAAAGTTGGAAAAGCAAAGAGAAAAGGAATTCATATTTGCAGCCTGTGACAAGCTGAAATCTTGTCCTCAAGGAAAGCAGCAGCAAAATGTCTTCTGCATTTTAGTAGGGACCCAGTTCTCACCTGGCAGCCAACATCAAACACTTTCAATATGATCTGGTTCAGAGCTAAATACTGTTAGGCTTAGATGCAAACTAAGATTTTTCTATTACTGCACAGCTGTGAAAACCATGTGTATGTTACATAATGGGTGATAATCAGCTTCTAAATAATTGGAAAGCTTGTTATACCCACCTGATTAAAATTCACAAAGTTTTACTTGGATATTGTGCATTAATGACACATTTAAATTATAGATAAAGCAGTGAGATTTGGGGAAATCTGGCCTGGTAAGCAGTCTTCCTTCATTCTTAAATTGGAAAAAAAAAAAAAGAAGAAAATGTCAAGCCAGCAAGCCTAAGGAGAGTTTAATTAAAATCTAAAGAAGAAAAAAAAAACACAGCAGTAAAGTAAGTTCAGAAATAAGATAAAGGCCAATGGAGAAGAAAGGTCAAAATACCCACCTGTTTTTTGACTGTATTGTGGCTTTTTTGTCATGCAAAGCTCTGTACTCTGGCTGACCTACATAAAACAACTGGCTTTTTGGGGGCCCATCCAGACAGATCAGCAACACAAATATGTCCCTGTATGTCTAATACACTTCCGAATGATTTTGTACTTGTGGTAGTCTAGCACAGAGAGTTTTTGGTGTGTCTTCTATTATTGTGATACAGAGGATGGCAGAAATCTGTCAGCGCTAAAAAAATCTCTGTAACAGGCTTAGTTTATTATCCAGAGTAACTATATTCCTTCACACCCACCCCTTATCCGATTTGCTGTTATTAGAACACTTTTTTTTAACCCATTTCTCAGCTGAGCAAGAGATTAACGTGACTGGCATCAGAAAAAAATGTAAGCAATTTCATAACAATGAGTCTCTGTATAATGAATGCTGCAACTTCCCTTGCATTTTTTTCTGTATAATCACAACTCTTCACCTCCTAAATAGCCCACTGAGTGGAGGTTGGAGAACACCACTGTGTCTTTCATTTGAGATTCACTGAATTTAGTATGGATACTGAGCTGCCATTTGTGATGTAATTTTGCTGGGCTATTTCCCATGGGCTCTGGCTATATCCTCCAAGAAGACCTGTTGGCAGCATTGCACTTCTCCAGCTGGCCTTGTGTTGGTGTTCCAGAATTTGGAGTTGTTGCCCTGGGGACTGAAACTAATAGAAATGTTTCAGCTATTAAGAGTTTTCCTATGCTTTTTGTTTGTTTAAATTCTGCTTAAGACAAAGTTTGACCTTTGCTCTGGACTGATAAGCTCTGCGGGTGGGAGGTCAAGAGTCCACAGAGTCATGAAGTAGTCAGAGCAGAAATTACAAAGGCAGGCCTGATACCTTATCTAGAAAACGTATAAATTCTGCAGCTGCTCAGATTACTAAAAATTGCGTACATTGAGATTGAGGGTTGTTGAAGGAAAGTATTCCGTTTGTTATTACAACCAGCCTCATTCCAAAAGTTTATCAGCATTCTTACATTAAATAGCCAATATCCTAGATAATGTAATTTCAGAAGCATTCAACAGTCAATTATTTTTTTTTTTTTTGTGGATTAAAATTAACATGATTCTCTAGAATCTAAATGTTAAATAAAATAG